GATGTAAAACAGCAAATAAAATTTACAGTACCAGTATAAAGTGTCAGAATATTTTCAGTGCAATAAGGAAAATGATCCTACGCATCCAGCTCAAATTTGCGGCTTCTGAGTTTTGTTGTATCTGATGAATTTTTAGGAAATGCAATAAATTCGTCCTGTATCTCATGAGACAATAAGGTAAAAGCACTTATTCCACATATCTTTCTTGCAAGTGAGATCCGTTCATTTTCTTCTAAGACTTGAGTTTATTTTGGGAGCGGAGGGTGATTGGTCAGGTCGAAGGAGGTTGTTTGTTATAGTTAGAATACTGATCAGAGTTCTTCTTTTTTTTCGGTTTGAACTTGGTAACAAAGATAACTATGAGAAGTTATTAAATATTTATGGACTGTCAAAGGAATGTAGCTGAAACATCTTTACGCGGGAGATCGAAAGTCATGTGCCGGCAAACCGAGTCGATTTTGATTGGCTGTGAGGTTTATGTAAATTAAAACAACGCGTTTCATGCATTAGTCCGTCCCTCTCTTTGTTGTTCCCTACAAGCTCGATTACTCGGTGCGGACTAGAATTAAACGAGATCCTAGCATGCCGAGAGGTCAGAGACGTCAAGCGTTATTAACATTTTGTGATATAAAATTACCGCGTACTTCCTTGTCATGCCTATTGCGTTTTCTCTGCTTCGGTGGCTTTCTTGATTTCTTTCCAGAGCTGTCATCTTCAATAGACTTAACCGTTTTTACCTCAAGGAAGACAGCAGTCCTTGTCAGGTCCAACTTTCCTGAACGTGGAGACATCATCCAGCGAAAAGTCACCAGTGATATTCATACCTATTAAGGTGAGGAATGATATATATCTAACATAATGTTCAGAGTAGCAAGAAAGCTTATATTTTAATGTGTTTTTATATTGTTGGAAAGTCAGATACACCATATAGATCTTAGAGGAAAACCATAACAATGCATTTTGGTGTACTTCTCGTGGTTAGTTTTGCACTGGTCAAGCTTTCTGTACATGGTAAGTAAGCATAATGTGGGAGCACCGATGTCATGTCTGAACCCGCGCTGTCTGTAAAGCTTGTAACGCTGTTATTCTATCAAGTACCATCGCACAGAGACTTGACACTAACTTTTGAATTGCTATTTTTTGTTTGAGCAAGTACAGAACTGTCCTATCTACAAAACGTGCTCCAAAAATAAATTGAAATTTTTCTTTTTGACGAAGAATTATATAATTAACATTGTTTACAGTATTCCTTTCTCTAGGTGTTGAGCTCCTTGCTCTACACTAAACCATCCCGAAGTCGATCGGTCGCTATACCTTTAATCGAACAAAAGTGTGGAAGTTTTAAAACTTGACGCTCTGAACGCACTTACACGGAGTCCTTAATGCAATTGGATGCATGAGGTTCTTTCTTTACGCTTTTGTTTTCATTATTGTTTTTATTATTTTCATTATTTTGTTTTCAATTGAATTGATTCCTTTATATTTCTCTTATAGAACACTGTGCATTTCTTTGTAAAATTGAGGAGCTTTTTTTCTTGAATTTCAAACTGATTTTTTAGGAAAAGATAAATTTGATAGTTTTAGACTATGATGTTTATGACTTTTCTTCCATTTCGAATGGTAATGGCATATTACAACTTCTTCTCGTCGATGCAAATTTGCAGCTATCTAAGTGCATGTAAGTGCTACAATGAATATCATTCTGTACAACGCGTTATCTTTCAGGTGCATGCTTACTCGAGCCACGAAATCTGACAGTGACTAGAATCCAAAGCCGTGTTTTGAACATCTCGTGGGTGAAGCCTGAAAATAATGACAAT